TCGTGAGATTCAAAATATTGTAACACGAAAATTATTGTTGCACTTCTGAGCATAACTTTCAAATTTAAAAAACCTATGAAAAGAAAATTTGAGACAAATTTTTTTATATATATTGATAGACTCCCCTTTTAAAGCTGAATTGAATGGTGGTAATTTTTTTAAAATCTAATGTGTGGATCACATAATATTTCAAAAATTTTAACTTTTGAGTATAGATGATCCGCACTGTATTATCATTCTTACGGTACAGATCTTATACAGTACCTTAGCAAAAGTTTCGGACATCCCAAATACATTAATTACGCAAAAACGTACATAATAATTATGCGAAAAATTTTATATTATTTGGATCCTAGTATTCATGTATTGAAATATAAAATTTTAGATTCCCAGCTTTTATACAGCTCAAATAATAATAAAAAAACAAACTCCGATCATTTTTGAAAAGAAAAAATTATAATATAATTTTACTATTAAAAATGATTTTAAAATTTTATCAAATCTTTAAAAAATTGATTAAAAAAATACTATCCAAAGTTATGCAAAAATTTTTTTTCTCAAGAATCAGATAAAATTAAATCATCATATCTAATATATGTTAATATGTAGGTTTTTAAAAATTTCCATGTCAAATTTTTTTCTTTCCAAAAATGATCATATTTCTTTCATTTTAATTGCTCAAGTTCTAGAAAATTTAGTAACATAAGATTCTATATACATAATCTTTGAAAGCTAAGCTATTAACTAACATAAATTTTCTGTACAATTATTATGTATGTTTTTGCGTAAATGATGTATTTAGGGTGTCCGAAACTTTTGCTAAGGTACTGTATATAGTAACAATTGGTCAACTTCAAAATACTAACGGCTGCTTTTTTCTTAAACTGAAAATTGGCCAAGTAAATTTCGTGTAACAACTTTTTTTTCATAGAATATTTTTTACAACATACATTTGATTTATTTGACTTATTTATTTCCTTTTTTTTATTAATAAATAAAAAGTTCTTTACAACAAAAAAGTTTAACGAACATATTACATTAAAAGGAAATCATTATCGTGAGATTCAAAATACTGTAACACACTTAAATATCATTTCTTGTTCTCCTGATGTAGTTACATTACATTCATTCTACCGGTTAATATTAATATTAAAACTCGATCTATCGAATATTTTGTCAAATTATTTTTGGCTCTCTTCTGAAAAAAAAAAAAAGTTACTCTTTGAAAATTAATTCATCAAATATTTTTTGCTAAAAATGCTACACTGAAAAATTAGAATAAACTCATTCCAAAAATTAGCATTGATAAATAAAAGAAATATATGAAACAATATTTATCGAAAAAGATGTTTTTAAAATTATTATTATTATTATTATTATACATTGTTAGCCCGTCGGTGTCTGTGGTAAGAAATTAAAGAATTTTTTTTCTGGAAATGCACGCTTCTCTAGAAGCTACTTATTTAAATAGCACAGAAATATATCGTTGCTAATCTATATTTTATCTGTGTATCATATCAGATAAGAATCATCGCGGTTGGAAAAACTGGCCTTGGCAAGAGCTTTACCGCCACAGTATTCGGATTTAATGCAGAGGTGGGTAATGATCCGGATTCAATGACTAAGAATGTGACAATCTACAGTAGTGATAAGTACACCTACATTGATACTCCTGGATTTGACGACAGCGATATAAAAGTGGAGGACAGAGAAATGATCTTTGACATCCTGACCAAATTGCAAGATGAAAATATCACAGAAATTCATACAGTGTTTTGGTTCGTGGAAAAAGGAGACAGAGGAACGCAATCTCTTCAGCGACAAGCGAGATTCATCGAGTCTCTTGCAATGAATAGTAAAACAAAAAGCAATATATGGAATAATGTAATCATCGTCATTAAAGGGGAAGGCTCTAACATTGACATGCAAAGTATAAACGCTGTCAAGAGGGCTGTCAATATCATAAATGTGGGAAGAGATATGCTTGCTAAGACTTCATTCATTCATGTGTATTTATATGATCGTTTGAGTAAAACTCGTGTTAGTCGTTTTAACACTAAAGAATTACATGAACAAGGAATATACAAGAAGGAGGAGTTGTTGGATGTTTATAAAAAGATAATACAGGAAAAATATCATGCAGAAAACCCAATAAAAATCACCTTTAAAAATGCAAGGTGCGTCAAGTGTGGAAAAGAGATTGACATAAGGTTTGCTGATAAGTATCCGTGTCATACAGAGGTAATTCACAAACATCCAAACATGAAACTTGTTCATCCAGGACAACTGGTACCCATAGATGGCAGGGAATTTGAACGTCGTTTCATAGATGACAATGAAGATATTTTCATAGGTGACAGGAAATTTGGACATAGTTACATTGATTCCATCCCAATTGTAAATGATATTATCAATTATTTTAAATTTAGGAAACAGGAACTTGTATGGACCTGCTGTGGGGAGCTCTATATACCTATTGTGGAGTATATTATGTCTAGTGGTTGCAGTGTGCGCTGTACTGAATGTGATAAAGGCACGGCTACGCAAGGGTGCATGAAAGTTTGCAAGGGATGTGGCCGGCCTTGGGGAGAATCACATGGCTGTTCCAAGGAAGGGCAACACGAATTTAATACATTTTACAGTTCACATGATGAATTATAAAACACTGGTTCCTGTAGCATACTTTAAGGCATATTTATTTCAAGGAAAATTTTCATATATTAGTAAAAATATTATATTTAGGTGTCCTATCACATGACTTCATATGGGGCAAAAGACTTGTAGATATCACAATTAAATATTCATTGTCGCCCCAATTCCCATTTTTTTATTAATATTAAATATTAAGAAAACGTGCACTAAATTTTCGCCATTTATAATCCTTATATATTATTAGATTAATCTTAATAAAACCAATTTTAGTTGAAGCACAATTTTCCTAGTAAATCCCCATCTCATCGATTTATATTTGTGTTGATAAATAACCAATTGTAAATTTTAATGGTTGTTATTTTCTAAACCAATTAATTTTAGTTCATCAATCTACTGTGAAAAAAGCAAGTTATCAATTTTTTCATAACTTATCTGAATATATTTGCTAAAAAATAAATTTTTTCTTTCAATATTTTTAAAAAGCCACATTTGCTTACGTAAAACAAAACATATATTTGAAGAAAATAGTATTATATCTTGTTTGTTAGACAAATTAACCGTTTGATAGTCTCATAGCCTTGTCTTGATATATATATCAATATCAATGTATAATATCTTTTCCATCATTATTGATTTATGTATTATGTATTATTATTTTATTGAAGTCCTAAATGGTGGGCCTAAAAAAGTAGTCACGGACTGTTCTAAATCAAAACGTTTTTTATTTAATATTAATAAATTATAATTATTGAGAAGTTGAAATGAAAAATGCGCAAATAGAACTTGAAATATAATATGACACTCCAAATGATATAATTCAAATATTTTTGCATTAAATTTTGGTTACAAAGATATGATAAGTTAGAGGCCCTAAGCAAATATACACAGGATTGTCAAGATTTCAATTTTTTCATTTTAAAGGATATTTATATAAAGGCAATATTTATGCCTCGGCTTTAGGATATATTGAAGCTTCCAAATATATAGTCCAAATGAACCAACTCGTGACAATAGAATAATAATAATAGAAAACCTTGACAAAATACGCAAACATGATGTATTGCATATATCGAGAGAAAATCAATATTCCATTAGAGAAGTTATACTATTTCTATTTATAATAATAATTTATAAATGTATTGCTATTCATAAACATTTTAGCAGTAAATTTAAAAGTAAGTCAGAAATGAGCTAATGAGAAATAGGTAGATTTAAAAGCAAATAAAGTATGATTAATCGTAACACACCTTTAAAAATCATGTTCTTGTTTTTGCAGCAATAATAAGAACAAATTGATACAAAATTTGTTTATTGACGAAATTTAAAATTTTCCGAAACAACAGGGTTTTATGAGAAGGTAATAGTAATATTGAGGATGAAGGTGGAAAATTGTATCTATAATTTCGAAGGTCGTATGGTAAACTCTTTCTTCATTACTATAACAATAAGCCCTAGTTTTGATGGCTGTAATTTCTTTTTCTATAGGAATAGCTTGATGAAATCTTTCTATCCCCCGCTGTTGTTGCTTTGAACTTGTGTCTCAACTTGTTGACTGGCGTTTTTCTTCTTTGTCCAGCGAACTTCATTTTCTCCTTGGACGAGCCAGTTCTACTTTTGACAGCAGTTTGAGTTAATCGAAACTTTTCAGATTAGTATTAAGGTTAATATGATCTAAATTTGTAGAGTTATAATTGAGAGCTAGGACTGATATTTATTAATATCTAAATTAGGCAAATTATTATAATACGAGGAAAGTAAGCGCAGTGTTATTACTAAACAAGTAAAATTGTTTTTTCCAAAGCTAATTGACCATAGGGAAAAATGCGATTTGGAGGGAAGAGGAAAGTAAGCGCAGTGTTATTACTAAGCGAGTTTTCTAGATCAAATTGACAATAGGAGAAATGTGATTTTGGAGGAAACACTAATAAAGCTAATACTAAGGAGTTTAATTCATTACTAGCTAGATATCTGATTTTCGGAACAATTTGATCAACTTTTAATGAATTTCTAGTAACTGGAATTTGTCATACAATTTTCATTAGGAAACGTTCCCCAAACAGTGTTGGAAATTTGGAAACTGCCTGTAGAATTCTATATAAACATGTAACGTAACATCCGTCGATTCCGTTTTTCTGTGTTACAGTCATTGTTTGCAAATTTAGACATAGGATATGAATCTGAATTTGCCATTGAACCCATAAAAAATCATAATACCACCAGAAGCATCTTGATGAGAAAATTGCTTCTTAAGTTTCCAAAATTAATAATTGATAAAGAAGAAACTATTTATGAGATTTACCAAGAAGAGTTCTTGACAGATTCTTTTTGTATTTTTTGCCGTGAGCCATCTTGGAAATATTGACATTATCGTATAATTGAGTTCATAATTTGAACCTCGGGAACTATTTGTATATTTATAGAATGATCAAGATGTTTGTTCACCCATTTATCGATACGTGCGTTAAGATCCATAAAAACCCTAGAGGACATAATGATAGATTGATACATACAATGTCATTAAAATATCAATTGAAAATGACATCTAGTAATTATTTTTAAATGTATAAATTGCTCCGTTGCACAACCGGCGGCAATTGCGATGATGATAAACTCGATAAGTTGTTGGTCATTTATTTATATTAATTATGAAGCACTTTTGAAATTACCAAGAATTTAAAGAACATAAAATATATTCAATATCATCTTGTCAAAATAAAAACCAGAAAATACTACTTATCCGCAATCGCCAAATTGGTTTCTAACTCCCCAACAACATGAATGGCGTGAAAAAGTAAACTTTAATACCTATATTAGTACTAAATAAAAATATAAAATAGCCTATTTTAGTAATTGTAATAGACATTTCGCTGCCATTTATTTAGGCAGTTAAACTTTAAAAATATATTTAAATAAAACCCCAAAATATCCATTCATTTTAAATATATATTATTTTACAAATTTGTGAAAGAAGCCCATTCATTTTTTGTTAAACGTGTAACGAAAATGGGAGTCCGATTTCCCTCCATTTGGATCATTGATTTTTTGTTTTATTGAAAATCTAACCAATTTAAGGTACAATAGTTTTTTTATATTAAAGCTAAATTTTTCCCCTTTGTCATTTTTAAATTCTTCGTCTTCGAAAAATTTATTATTTTTTAAAAAATAAAAGCCATGCATATTAATAACAATTCAAAGTTTGTTATTGAAAGTTATAAACCGGAACAACCTTATACAGCACGTTTAAACAGAATTTTAGAGGAATATCCTGATGGCACTCAAGTCTTACGGGAAATTCTTCAAAATTCTGATGATGCTGGAAGTACTCGCCAAGACTTTATTTTGGATTATAATACTTCAAATTTAGCACTGTCTTCAAAAAGTTTTGTTGATAAATAAAATGTACTAGAATATTTGCCAAGATCTGTTCTATAATTTTCATTGGAAATATTCGTTACATCTACTTTCCATTTTAATATTGGTGGAAAGGTTTTTCCCAATTTCTCGTAAACTTCCATTGATTTAATATTTCTAAGAAATATTAATTCTGATAACATCTGATCTCTATATTCCAATAATAATTCTTTGATTACGGAAATATTATCCATTTTTGTAGAAATTAAACTTTTGACTTTACTATTTCTAAGTGGTAATCTAAATAGTGTTCCAGGAAATGGCTTTTTAAATTGAAAAATAGGATCTTCATTGTTTAAAGCAAAGTTATCAAAAGGTTCAAATTGATCGTAAAATTGTTTGATCATATAACTATTGTCTATAAAATTAATTTTAATGCCTGGATAATTTTTTGGTAAATATTTTTTATGTGGATCAAATATGACAACATATTTGCCCGTAATGAAACTTGGTAAATCTGTGTAGTTGTAACAGGAATTAAATCCCAATCCAAATTTACCAATTTTTGTTAAATCATCCCATTTACTACCAGTACCCAGTTCACATATTTTGACCAAATCTTCTTCAGTAAAAGTCTTGTCATTGTAAATAAGAATCGAAGGCCCTTGCCAATGTTCTAAACCATTACCTTTCGATAATAATGATGCTTTTTCTGGGTCTTTATTATATTGACCTTTGTCAATTATTACTGAAAATCTTGTTGCTTTTGCATCATCAGCATTTTGTAAAAATTCTTGAAAGACGACATCTTTACGATAATAATCCTATATAAATATTAATATAATCATTCGTGCATTAATAAAAATACACATGATTATACCATACTAAAAATTTAAGACTTGACAATATTATTTTAATATGTCAATCCTACAATTTTCAGTAAGATATTCTGTGAAAATTTAGTAGATAGATAGATACCTTAAGGATTTTGTTTAATCTATTAGTTAAACGTTCATGTTGCCCGAATTCCTCCAAACCAATGTCTGCATCATTTATAATGACTTCGCTATAATTCTTTATGGAGAGTTTATTTGTGACAACTTTAGGAATTCCATCATGAACCAATTTATTTAATATTTCATCCGATTGTATGAAGTTATTGGCCATGTCATTAAATAAAGCATCTTTTATTTTAACGAAACCATCATTCATATTTGGTATCAGCAATTCTTCGATAGCTAACAATTCTTCCTTCGTTAATGATGACTCCTTGGACGATTTGATTTCAGACAATCTTTCATAAAGTCGAAAAATTTCATTAATTT